TTAATTATCTTGTTCCCTTGCCTTCCAATGTTGTGGCCATGACTTAATTGGCATTACTTAATTATCACATTCCCTCACCTTACCAAGTTGTGGCCACAACTTAATTATCATTAGCTAATCATTTTATTCCCCTGCCTTACTAAGTGGCCACAAATTGATTATCTCGTTACTAAGTCATGGCAAGAACCTAATTATCTAGTTCCTCGCCTTACTAAGTCATGGCAATTGCTTCATTATCAAAACACAATTTTCTTGTTTTTGTGGCCACACATTTCTTGTCAAGAGGGGATGTCACCAGATCTACAAAGGTTTATATGGAACAAAACACACAAAAGATTTTGAGGGTTACAGTTCAAGGGCATCTTGTTCAGTCTGTGCTAACCTGACATTGTCAATATTACAAAGGAAACTGGGGTTGGTTGGTATCCACATTTAAATGATTAAACCTTTTTCTTTATTTGGTTAATAAATTATGTTCCTTTCAAGACGATTATATGTTCCTCTTCCGAGAATGGGCTGGTGCCCTCTGCAGGACCGAAAGTGATAATGAATCTTATATACTATCCAGAAACTTCTACAGACACAACACACTCTCATTTGTTTTTTTTGTTTTTTTGGGTTTTTTTTTTTAGGACAGTGTTGTGTGTGCTTTGAATTTGTTCACTAGAGTGTAAAAATAATTGAAGATCTGCTCTTCATGTTTTGTACTCTTGCTCCTCTTGTGTTTAGACAGAGCTTATAAGGTCACAAATATTATGAAGCAATAAAGAGCTAATTAAACATTGGCAGATGAAAGGTTTACTGTAGCATATCACTAAAACTTGCTATACTGAATAGAAGAAATTATTTCTGTTTAAATTTGATTATGGGAGATAATCTACATTCCTCTATAACATTGTAGGATATATACAGCCTGTAACATGAAACATATACTTTAAATAAAAAAACATAAAAAATTACTACATAAAAAGTTCTTCCAGTGTTTTTTTAATGTCCTGAGCATTTCCTATTATAAATCCAATATTAAATATCACAAAGCATATCAGAGAGGATCTTTCTATTATGCTGAAGAATAACAGCTCTAACTGAAAAGAAATTAACCACCTTATGCTAGACTTATTATGTGAGCCTATGAAACTAATCTTTTTCTCATCTTCCCCACCCTAACTCCCCTGACTGCTGACTTGTTTTGCTCTGTGTGCTTGTGTCTATTGGCTCATCAAACGGATGGAAAGCTGTGAGGAGAAGACAGATCATGCTGTCCACTCAAGTGTCTGTCATACAGGGGGTTCTCAGAGGATCCTCCACACTTAAGTCTCCTCCCTGTCACTCAATCCATTACCACAGAGTGAGACAGGCCTGGGGGACTCCATTAGACTTGCATAAAAAGGAAGAATGTTAGGCTTTTGCTGAGTAACTGGACTGATAGAGTTTCTATCTTTACAGAATAAATGGTGGCTGGTCAGTCTGACTGCTGGGCTTGGTCAGTAACAAACTGCACTGGCTCACAGAAAGGCAGTACATCAGAATAGTGAACAGGTCTGAACAGTCTCCATGTTATATTTTTTTGTCAGAAGTATGCAATGCACAACAAAGTAAGGCTCTTTGAAATATGTTTTTTTTTTTTTTCATTAAATAAAAGCAAGTATTTTTGTATTGTTTGTTTTTCACAGAAACTTAGGTTTCTTCCACCTAAAGTTTGATGATTGTTAAATTCCAGTGATTTTTCAAAAATTCTGTATAATTACACTGTTGAGATGTTAAAGTCATTCAGAGAGGTTTGATGTGTAATGTTCAATTATAGAGAAACTTACCGTCTGGCTTTTCTTTTCAGCGATGGTGATACGAATCAGGGGTCATAATGTCTACAGCACAACTACAGCCATTTTACTTTACTTTTACATTTACTCTCCAAATGAGCCAAAAACCCTACACATGTTCTATGAGTTCCTATATGTAATGTTGATAAGGTAGCTTTTAGAGACAATAAATACTTCAGACGCCTGGTTTTTATCACCACCGATATGAGCAATTCGGTCGGTAAGTTTCTCTAGAATGGACTATTTCACATAAACCCACATCTTAGCAATGTAATTATACAGGATTTTGAAAAATTGGTAGAATTCCCTTTCAAACTGTGTTTAAATTCCAGCAGGTAAAGCCTAGCATGTCTTTAAAGCTATTCATGTAGTAATTCATTGTTCATTAGCAGCCTTGAAAAATAACTGGTTAAAATCGATGACTTATACTTATATTAGACAATATGGTCATCATATTGTCCTTTTTTGTGCATTTATACACTATTTATACATTCCATAGTGCTCTTAAAGTTATTGCTAAATAACAGATTTGAGAAATATGCAAAGCACAATAAAATAATCTTTGTGTATTCTATATTTTTGTTTACAAAACACATTATAAAGACTACTAAATTTGAAAATAGCTCCTATACAAAACTAAGTATACAATTTGTCATTCTTTAAATACGAAAAATATTTTAAATAAGGAACAATTCTATTTCATGTCACTTACACTGAGACCATGTTACCATCATGCAGTATAGGTAAGTAAGTAATAAATAATGTTTTGCTTTCTTGCACACCAATAAATCATTTAAATCACAAATGACAGTTAACACAAAGCTAAAATATGACAATACATTAAAGCTAATCTGACTTGTTCTTTTTTCTGTACTGTATACTGACCGCTACATGACAGAAAAGCTGAGCTTTTAGAAGTATTTTTTCTCTGCAGAAGTGCAGAGACCAGAGCTGTGAAACAGTCTATGTTTATGATGCTTGTACTCTACTCTGTCTTGTAGAAAAAGTAATATCAATCCCTGCTGCATTGGCTCAGATATGTGAATTACAGGAATTAACTGTAAGGGTGAAACTGTTAAGGACATTTTTCTTGCACCACCCCAGTAAAGCCCTGCAAACCCAATTTATGTGTGGATTTGTCACCATGATCGAGAAACTGTAATGCTGTCTCTGTGTTATCAACATTGATTATGGCGGCCTCAGACTACGGCACAAACATTTATTTCATTTCACATGAGGAGTGTGTTTGCTTTGTCTTGTCTTGGCTTTTGTAGAGCTCTGCTATTAATACCATATTTGTATCCTACAAAAAGTGTTTCGCTAGCTTTCAGCAGAGGGCACTGTAGACACTGTAGACAAGAAGTGTCACATCTGCATCTGCAGTTTTGTTCATAAGTAAATACTTCAACTTTTTCCAGTAACACATTTTATAATAACTGTAAAACACCTAGAATTCTGCCTGCATTGCTCATGTTACACATAACCAAACACTAAATGTAATATTCCTTTAAAGCAAAACACACTTGCAAGGCTTTATGTTTATTTTAAAAACATTAATTTATGCATGTTGTTTCAGTGAAAACCTTTGCAACTCTTGTCCAGATGCTGGTATGACTTCTGTTGCTCTTTGTGTATTAACATATTTTATGTATTTGCAGATATTTCCTCTGCTTGGAAATCTTAAGCTCAATGCTTCATTCACATAATTTGGTCAGAGGAATCTAGATTTACTTCATATTTCATTCAGCCACACACCTAAACTGTCTTCACTGAAACAATGCATTGCCACAAAATACTAGTATATTTAGACCTAGTATTACAGTTAGCTTTTCATACAGCAGACTGAGGCAAACATCTTACACTGCTGTGCTGTTTGAGCTGAACTCTATCTCCCACATTTGTGTTGCCACAATGGAAAGTCCATCACATTGGCTGATAACTCCACAGTCATGTGCCCTGTGCACTGACAACAATGTAACACAGAAGGAGGAGATAAAATGCCTTACAAGAGAAGATTGAATGATGTGTGCCTCAGTAGCTATGTTTTCATCAGCTATGCAACCTGAAATGAATAAATGCATTAAAAAATGTAAAAGATAAAATTAAAATGCAGGAAAAAAGTTTGTAACTTGCTGCCCAGAGGCTTGTTTCCACCCAACTGACTTTTAGCAATAAAAAATCCTTTACGTAATGATGTCACTTCCGGCAAAAAGTTTTGGATTATCAATTTTAAAAAATAAAATTGTTTTTATGTTTTCCAGCTCTAGAAACTTGTGTAACTTAGACTTGTTTGCTTGTTTTTTTCCATCAGCACTGTTATACACTTTTTGTTTATAAGAACTGTAGCCTTTCCTGAACGCCTATGCCGTAGGTGCTAAAAATGTTTTTCATAAGAGGAATGTGAGAGAAATCTGTCCCTGACACCTAAAACAAATGGTTTCCCATTAAGTTTTCACAACATTTTAGGTACCATCAAACAACTTATCACTTATTTATAAGTTAAACAAACAAATAAATTTGTCAATATTCATAAGATATTATCAAGAAATTTTATTTTTATAGCCTACATTGACAAACCTTTTGAAGAGTTAAAAATATATAAAAATCCTTTGGATGGAAACTAATAACTAATGTCAACAAAACAAAACTGACTTCTGCATTGAGCAGGAAGAAAGTTCCCAGTTCCAAAGCCTGACAGGACTGAACTGAAAATGCAATGGGTAAACCAGAGATAGGTGGGATACACTGTAGGCATGTTTACAGGTTTACAGGTGATGCGTTGACTACTCATAAGGCTCAACAGCATCTGCATGTTTGCTTATTATTAAATACTTTAACTTTTAATACTTACATTTTCACTTCTTATTACAGCAGGAAAAAGCCCAAAACCCTGTACTAAATGTAACACTACTAATCTTTATAATGAAACATATTTCAAAAGGAAGGCATATGTTTATTTTAAGAACATAATATTTACCTGCTTACAAATGTAAACATTTGCCAGACATTTGTATGACTTCTGCTGCTTCTAGAGTATTCGCATATTCTACATTCTTGCAGATTTTGCAAAAGAAATTAATAATATGTAGAAATTTGAATTTGCACAGCATAATCACATCACTTGGCAGATACCAGGCTGAGGCATTACACTTGAAAGGAAGTCAAACCCACCTACTGGAATACACTCCAAAACACCTTTATTGTGACTTAATGCTTCACTGCGACAGAAGAAATGGAGGGCCTACGTGGGCTTACAATCTTAACAATCTGACATTCAAAAACCAGTATTTGTGAGGAACAGGCACAATCAACACTGTTACAGCGCAGTCTTTGTTAGCTTCCCTTTGGCATCTTTAGATCTTCAGTCCACAGGTGACATACAGTTTTGTGGCAGTCAAGTAATGAGGGATGCCCACAGACGAAAATCAACTGGGATTCTTCTCGTCCACAAAAATGCAAAGGTCCTTTTTTGACTTCTTCAGTTGCAAGTGCATTTCTCTTGTGAATTTTCTTTCACTACGTATAACTCAGATTTAGCATATCAAATCAATTTAAAATGCGTCACAAAACATGTCAGATGCTCAGATGCTCAATCTGTCATCTGGGATAGCATTTCTGCCTTCAGCAGAGGTGAGTTGATATGTACTTGGATTGAGGGTGTATTACAGTCTCACCTGTCCCCTCCACTTTTCTTCTCTGCCAGCTCTTCCATTTGTTTCTGCCGCCGCTCTAACACCTCTAACAGTTTGACTTCATTGCGAGCTCGTTCCTGAGCCCGAATCTCTGCCACGTCTTCAAAGAGCAAGTGTCTTCAGGAGAAAGATCAAAAACAGGTTCAGTCAAAAGGCTGCAGCAGGGATAGGGCACGACCCCCTGTGTGATACAAACTGGCAAGTCGTTAAACAGGTCTAGTCTAATTTAATAACTCATTAAAACAACCAAGCATAACAGGAACATTTCACATCTCATTTAAAAGCAGCAAGCATAAATTTCAGTATAGAATTTAAGAAAAACACTGACAGGATTTCTTAAAGGGGCATTCTGGTCTAAAACAAGCATTTAATGCTATTCGTCATGTTATGTAATGTTTTGTAGTATAGCATTGCATCCGACAGCCTCATCGGTTTGACAGATCTCATGATTTTGTGTCCTCTTTATGTTATAGCCATCACTGTTTTCTCACTACAATACCCAGCATGCATTACGCAATTAGGTCATAGCTGCTGGGATTGCCCCCACAGGCTGCTACCAGTTACGTACAGACTTCAAAAACTACAAATGTGGTATTTTGCTTCTTAGCAGTACTAGCTTCTTTCTGTATTAGCCAGCTAGCAGAAAAGTATCAGCACAGAAGTGTCTGTAGTTTTTCAAAAGCTCCTCCCACCTTCAAGATACATCGTCACAGAGGGGGTTCTGGGTTTTTAAACTGTAAAATCTCCCTTGAGATACGACTGCAGCACTTTTGTACGAGGCGAATGGACATGTTTTCAAAGATGTAGCGAGGGTTAAATTTTTCTTTTGGTCGGAGTTTCCCTTTAAAAGTGGGAACTTTAAAACTCCAAAATTGCCGTGGATGATTAGAAGATTTAAATCATTTAAATCTAACGATTTAAATTCAAAATGAAAATATCTAAGCATTTACTGAATGAGATGTATTAAAACAACAGTGCTGATACCAACAGTTTGAGTCTACAAGAAAACACGCGTTAACGCTACCTGTTTAAGAACGCTGTGGCGAGTCCTGCGATCAGCGTACCAAACAGAATCGGCTTTGTGAGACGCTTTTTCACAGATAACTTGTGTTGCTTCATGCTGGAAGGTTAAGCTCACACGTCCCTAAAGAGAAAAGCCGAGGGTAAACGTTCCCACTGTTATTAATATATTCGCTTTTCTGCACAGACTCTGCGCTTTGACCTCCAGTCATGCACCAAAACACGTACGCACTACTTCCTCCAGATAGTATTTTACCGAACGTGTCCCTGATTTATATCCGTAAATGCTTTCATAGGTTTGCAAGGTACGTTGAAAAATACCAGTAACAGGTGAAATTTCACATCGAGCATAGCGTTACGGTTTACAACATTTTAGAAAATATTACTTTTGGATAGGAACTGTTTGTGTCTGGATAATCCGGGGGAGGGAAACCGGATCTGCACTTTCACACATGTGCACATTAACTCGATCTCAAATGGCTCTATGCTCCCTACGTAGTGCACTATATAGGCCATAGGAAAGAGAGGTTTCTCATTCTCCTACTGTCTCCAGTAGTGCACTGCACTACCAAAACAGAGGCATTTGGGTTTCGGTCACTGAAACATGGCGCCTCTGGTGAATTATCTGCGATTGCTTGTTACATAGTTCGCAAACGAGTTCATAGATTTACAAAACTGTGGAAAAATAACTAACAGCAGAAATTTAAACAGGAAGTAGTTTGTTCGGTAGCTTTAGTAGCCGGACAGGAGTTTTCTTGGGTGTTAATTTTCTGCGTGCTTATTTGTGTGAACTCTGCCGTCTTTTCCAGGTTAGTTAACTAGGTTAGTCATCGATAGGTTAAATGTTCTATGTTTACATTTGCCTGGCTTTCTATAGACGATGTGATTACTGCGGCTTGATTAGTTATTTAGCGAAACCAACATGCTATTCTCATTAGTTATGTGTCTAGAAATAATGCGGTATAACGCTTCAAAAATGCACATATAAGCTTAAAGGGAAATGTTCTTTTTGCATAATAAAGTCGTTAAGACATAAGCAAAGTCATTAAGAGGCATTAGGGGGCATTAAGAAAGTCAAAATTGTTCACAGCGCTGGTGAAAAGAACCAGACGGTTTAATGCATCTACACTTCAAAAGACTGTTGCATTGTTTGGTGCCCAAGTTTTTTTTTTTTGGTTCATTAATGGCAGAGAGGCACATGCACTATGCACAGGAACATACACTATATGGACAAAAGTATTGGGACACCTACACATTACACATACAGGAGCTTTTGTGAAATCCCATTCCAAATCCATGGGCATTAACATGGAGTTGATCCCCCTTTTGCAGCTAAAACAGCCTCCACTCTTCTGGGAAGCTTTCTACAGGAGTACTTTAGAGTATGTCTGTGGGAATTTTTGCCCATTTATCCAGAAGAGCATTTGTGAGGTGGACGAGAGGGCCTGTCTCTTTTCTAGTTCATCCCAAAGGTGTTTGACAGGGTTCAGGTCAGGGCTCTGTGCGGGCTTGTGAAGTTTGTGAAGTTCCTGACGCATAGTTGTTTTGCTGATGTTGCTTCCAGAGGCAATTTGCAAGTCTTTTTTTGAGTGATTCAACAGCGGATAGGCACTGTGCGGCCACACACTGTCAGTTTGCGTGATCTACTGCTTTGTGTCTAAGCTGTTGTTGCTCCTAAGTGCTTCCATTTCACAATAATAGCACTTACAGTTGACAGGGGCAGATCTAGCAGGACAGAATTTCACAAACTGACCTGTGGCATAGGTGGCATCCTATGACAGTGCCACATTTAAAGTCACTGAGCTCATCAGTATGACCCATTGTGCTGCCAGTGTTTGCCTACTGAGATTGCAAGTTTATGTGCTTAATATTATTCTCCTGTTAGCAATGAGTTTGGTAATACCTGAATTCAGTAATTAGGAGGGGTGTCCCAATACTTTTGTCTGTATAGTGTAGTCCAGAAAGAAAAACAAAGGAAGGCAACATAATCCCCAAAGAAAATGTTTTTTTTTTTCTTCTGATTTACCACTGTTTTACCTTTATCAATATTACATATAAAAACTCAGAAAACACGTGTAGGTTCACTGATTGTATTGGATAGTAAGTATGACTATATTTGCATTGTAGACATTAAGACTTCAGTTTCCAATCACCACCATTGTAAATCATTTGGGTCAGTATGTATCTGTACGTCACACCATTTTACTTCAAACCATTTTGAGTGGCATGTTTGCATCTCAACAATTATACAGAAAAAAAATATTTAAAACCTATTAAAGTATAAACAAGCAAGTATAAACCTGATGCACATTCTGCAAATAACACAGTGCCAGTATGAAAATTGCAGAAACCATTATTGGTGAAAGATGTTGACTTGACTGACATCATCATTATGGTAATTTTTTTCCATATGTTGTCAGGAATGGATCGTTTCTGTGCATCAGAAAGGTCTGAATACCTGCAGGGGTTGGTCACAGAGTTTCAGGACACCGATAGTGAAGGTATCTCTGACCGGCCTCATGAAAAGCCTACTTTGGAAATGCAGTGAATATGTAAAATTGTTTAGGTTCGTTGGTGATAAACTAAGCTCCAAGAGAATATGCTTATGTATATATGAATTAATCAAGCTCTTTCATTCAATCTGTTTAGAAGCTAAAGAGCAAATTTTGGCCAACCTGGCAAACTTTGCATATGATCCTCGAAACATGGAAGCCTTGCGGATGCTGCAGGTGACTGATCTCTTCCTGGACATGCTGACAGAGGAAAATGAGAACTTTGTGGAGTTTGGAATTGGTTAGTGTCACTAAGGGAACTGCAAATGTTTTAAGATAAGGCCAGTATGGTAAGATGGGTACAGGCACAAGTATCAGCTTTATGTGATTTCACTTGCAACACCATTGAATGTCATTACATTCCCTGTTTGACTTGACTTTAAGATGTGTTTCTGTCACTTCAGGTGGCCTGTGTAACCTCAGCATGGACAGGGAATGTCGTGATCAGATTTTGGAGAGCGGAGGGATTCCGTTAGTGACAGGCTGCCTGTCAAGCCACAGAGACGAGACTGTTCTCTCTGCCATCACTACCCTAATGAACCTTACCACAGGGGCATCACGGTCCGAAACCACAGACAGTGCTGTGGTGCAGTGCATGCTGCGCTTCTCACTTACACAGAATCCCCGCCTCAGCAACCTGGCTACAGTCTTCCTGCAGGACTACTGCTCACAGGAACAGGTGGACAGAGCCAGAGAACTAATGCAAGGACACAGTCAATCAGTACTCGGAATTCCACTGCCAAAAGACTAGGAGACCACCAATTCATGCATGTCAGATCAGAGCTGTCCTGCTTTGTGCTGAATGCTGGGTGGATTTATAGAAATGGAAGAGCGTGAATGGCACTGGTGATAATTTGTTCAGCATTACAGTGACAAGTGAGTTTGCCCATAAAAATTGTATTTGTCCTTGTAGACACTGTATCTTCAGTGTATTCTAGGCACCTCTTAAACATTCCTCAACTTATTTATTAAAAAAGAAAAAGGGAATATATATATATATATATATATATATATATATATATATATATATTCCCTTTTTTTTTTTAGAAAAACTATTTTGGTTAATTTACTGAAATGCCTTTATTCTATTTTGTGTTTTTACGTTAAACCCAGTCGAATGAATGGTGTAGTCATGCAGGCTGATAAGTTGAGGAATGCTAAAGAGGTGCCTGGAACACACTGAAGATACAGTGTCTACAAGGACAAATACAATTTTTATGGGCAAACTCACTTGTCACTGTAATGCTGAACAAATTATCAAATTATATATATATATTGAAGAACTACTGAAGAAACCTGCTCTGCTGGACTGGAGTTTGAAAACATTGCTCTTTATCACTGCATGGACACATGGACACCTTATCCAGTATGACCGGTATTATAAGAGCAGGGTGTTTATTTATATCTTCAACCTTTAATCTGTACACAGGCCTTTGGATGGGAAAATTGTGAAAAGTCATGTTATTGACCAAAGTAACAGCGACTTCCCTTATAGTGTTAAAAGGGAACGATCAAGCAAGTTGTGTGCTTTGAAACATACATTACATATGGAGTAGCATATGCAGTCATCTAAGCGTAGGCCCTATCATCAGGAAATCGCAAGTTCAGTCCCTGGTGATGGCCATCCATAGCTGGGAGTCCAAGAGAGCACAGTTGGCCTCATTCTCTTTGAGTGTGTAGGATGGCCCACTGCTCCCATCACTTAGCTGATGTAACAGAATTGGGAGTTAGCATTCTCCTCCAGGTGCGTTCAGCAGTTCAATGATGTTGCATTAGCGGCAAGATTTCCACATAAAGAGAGCCAATAGTATACTAAAATTATAAGATTATATTAATAAATCAAAGGCATTTAAATGTGGACCTCAAATCCAAACTAGGTCTTGGATTTTATAATAAATGGTAATTTACTGAACATTAAGGGCTGGTTTCCCAGTCCCTATTGAGCTTAATCTTATACAGAAAGCCTTTTCAATGGTAAATCAACATTGATGTAAAACATACATCCAGATTAGGCTTAATCTGTGTCCAGGAAGCTGATTTATAACATAACTGGTTGGCCACAGTCATGACATTTGATGCCTAGATAAAAGGGAGAGTGGAACATCTATTTAGACTTCAAGGGCTATTGTTACCATCTTATTAAACCGTATGTGTTAGTGAAGACTGAATCTAGATAACTGAATTTGCATATGTTCTAAACCAATGCTGCCCAAAATGTAACCAAATTTGGCCTGCCAGAAAGTTAGCCTAACCCCAGAGCAAATATATTTTTATGATAGAAGTCATTTATTACATTTTTTTCTTTTAAAATTGTATTTGCAAAGTATTTGATTAATAAAATATAGTGTAATTATTGTTATTAAATATTGTTAATGTTAAATGCATTTTTAAAAACTGAATTTAAAGCGTACCTGTCTTCTTTATGTGTATCTTTTGTATTTTTGGCCCTTTGCCCCCCACACACTTTGGCCCACCAAGACAAAAAGGGCACACTGTTCTAAACCTTTAAAAATCACCTGAAATTAAATCATGGTGTTTTCATTTTAGATCTGGGGGACAGGCAAGTGATCATGGGTATCTTCAATGCTTAGAAACCAGATCAAAACGAAAAAGAAAACATCTGAATCTCTGGGATTCCTAATACTCTGTCTTAAAGATTCTGACAAAACTAGTGTAAACCTGAATTTAGTGTAAACTAGAATTGTCCTCTCCTTCCAGCAGGCATGTTCGAATGCTGAAAGGGAACTTCTTATCATATGGTTTCAAGTTCAGCATAATACCAACAAATCAAGAAATCCCATATTCCCTTTTATCACAGACCAAACAGAAAAATGCTATTTAGCAACCTCACAGACATAGAAATAGTATACCTGGTGTTAGAACAACTGCCTTGCACTTGAAATTCCTTATACTTTGTCTCAGGATTCGAGCTCAAGTACCTCAGATGGAGAATGACTCTGATGTGATCCATATGTGTGAATGAGTGATAGATAGCAGTTTGACATTTTTGTGTCATACATAATAGGGGAAAAAATCCAGTCTTGATCTTCCCATTAAAAGAAAATATATTTGATCAAATAGCTAAAACACACCAAATGTCACTGTAAAAAAAGCATGGCTTGCACATAACAAAGTAAAAGGAATACAAAACAATTATGGGGAACAAGGCAATCTATAAAAGTACACTCCTTGCCACTGATAAAGGCTATATTGATTATGTGCAAAATTCTAAGTAGTAAAGCCACAAAGTGATTTTAGATGTGTTTTACATCAACATGGTATACAGCATTCACATTTAGTTTCTTAAACATTGCATTTTAGAAGGTCCAAGAGATCACCTAATCAGGACATATGAGGGGATTTCATTGCCTACTACAGTCCTTTGAACATAATTCTTCTACTGATTGTTACCTCTTGTATCTAGAACAGTATTTCTCCTAGTTCATCTGTCTAAAATCAAATCAGCGTTACCACTTTGGTGTCTTAATCACTGAACATGCTTTGAATGTGAATAAAGATATAACAACTGTAACATATAGGGAAATTAAGAGAGAAGTGAAGGTTATGAAGTGGCACATCAATAGCTCAGGCTCACTTTCTGGCATTTCATCTGTTTAAAAACACGGCACGCCTTTCCTTCCATTCACAGTCCCAGCTGTTTCTCAATCTGCTCCCGCAGTTTATTCTTCTGGATCTGAGGAAGGTGAAGAAAAGAAACAGCCTTAGTGCTATTTGAGGATTCAATCCTTCAACAGTAAACCACAAAGCTGAAGTGCTGTAGAGACTGGTGCCCCTTGACTACTGAAACCACTTCAGCGGATTTTGTGCAGACAGGGAAATTGTTTAAATTTCTCCTGTCTAGAGATCGATGTGATTAGGTTCAAATAAACGCCACTCTTACATTTTTAACATTTTTTCCAAAGTGTGTCCACAGAAACAAATAAAAAAGGTGGTGACCACAAGGAATTTCTGATGGTCGTTAAACAGACTGCAGGTCTAAGCAAATGATACGTATGAACCAACATGAGTCTTTCTGGACCTTCTGAACTAGCTGTAGAATTTTAAATAAACCTTAGTTACACTGTAAATGGCAGCATAAGCCATTTGTCTTCGTGCATATGTGAAACTGAATGCCAAAATTTCACACTTACCTTGCCTGAGACAGTAAGAGGATAGCTCTGAACAAAAGTCACATAGCGTGGGATCTTGAAATGGGCAATCTATAAATAAACAGACACATATACTGACAGATTAGCATGAAATTAGCTTCATGTGTCATTTCTTCTCTGAGGTGAAATGTTTCATTAATGTGCTAGAGTCTTTCAAATGGATCTAACCTGGCCTTTGCAGTAGGCCCGAATCTCCTCCGCAGTGCATTCTTGCCCAGCCTTCAATTTGATACAGGCACAAACGTCTTCGCCCATTCTCTCATCTTTCACCCCAATCACCTGCAAACAAGTGGACTCTATGTCTACCAGAACATTCCTTTATTCCCTTACTGCTGAACAAAATAAAACAGCAAAGATTCAGCTTCAGGCTCATCGTTTCTGCTACTTTCTGTATGAAATCTTGTTTAGTGCTGAAGGAGGCATGGAACTGTCAACAGATGAAAACTGCAGCCTCCTCTATGTTGGTTTGTCACCTGTGCTTCCAAGACTTTAGGATGTTTGTGCAGGAACTGTTCAATTTCAGCAGGGTAGATATTTTCTCCTCCACGGATAATCATGTCTTTGATTCGTCCCTCTATTTTGCAGTAGCCAAACTTGTCCAAACTGGCAATATCACTGCAAAACAAATAAATGGTTGAATGTTTGAACGTTCAGAACGTTTCAGAATGGTTGAATGTTCAGAACATTTTTGTATGCCGTGCAACATTGTTGTGGACCACAAACAAAAGTGGACAACTGGCTCCTACGTTTCCACCATAAAATTTTCTTTTTTTTTTTAGATACTTTTATAGAGTTATTTTTACTGCATCTTGCACAGAACATTAGCTGCTGAGTTCAGTCTGCTGGGCTGGATGCTCTACCAAAAATAACAGCACTTCATTTTATTACTTTTCCCTCATCTTTCCTAAACATTTGATTGTAAAAATATGGTGCTTCTTTTGTATACATTTTTAAGAACATTATTTCAATATAAAATGTAATAAAAACCCTTTTCTTAACATTATTTAATCTTTAGTCTTGAGTTGTGTATGTTCTCGTTTTTCTATGTTCTCGTTTTTCAGTTTGTTTCCTTTTTGTTTTTAATTGGGAACTAACAAGACTACATTCATTACAAGTCAAAGAAAGATATTACACTGACAATCACACATTTCTACAGTTCTACTGCAACTTCTCATCCCCTTAAGAAAAGGGCAAATATTGCCCCCAATACTGAATAGAGCCACTGCAAAATAAAGCATTTTAGTCTGCAACAATCATAAAAAATGGACACAAGATGCTGGTCAGACATAAAATAAATAAACATAAATATATAAAGACACGTGTCAGGATCCAGTTCAAGGCCAAAACATGCAGACTTCAGCACACTGCCTCTTTAAACACACTTGATTCAGCACATCGGGTAATTAGCAAGGCCTTCATGAACTGAATTCAGAGTGTTAAATGAGGGTAAATGCTAATCTAAGGTCCCCAGTTTGACATGCCTGATATAAAAGACATAAAAAATGCTTAAGACAGCTTTTACTCTTTAAACCAGTAAGAAAATAAGACAATAAAAGTAGTCCCACATGGACAGATCACAGTTAAAAAGTCCAGGAGTCCATGTAGGAAGTCCTGATAGTTTATCCTAAATAACACTCATGCTGATAATTAACAGTAAATATGTCAAGCACACATACCCAGTCTTGTACCAGCGCTCTTTAGTGATGCATTCTTGGGTTTTGGCCTCCTCTTGCCAGTATTCTAGCATGACACAGTATCCTCTGATCATTAGCTCTCCTTGAGCTCCAAGAGGAACAATGATTCCTGTTGTAGGGTCGACAACCTTCGCCTAACGAACAAATTACCAGTCATTACATTGAACTGTTCCACTCGTAAGCAGATCTAGAGGATGTAAAGCAAGAATACATTAGAGATGTGTCTACCTCAGTGTGAGGGAAGATACATCCCACAGTTTCTGCCTTTCTCTCCATGTTGTCAACAGGGAAGCCGCTGAAAGTCACAGGGCTGTTCTCAGTGGTGCCATATGCAATCTGCGCCAATTGAAAAGAGAAAATCAGAGCATGACTTTTTTCTGTTTGACACTGTCCTAATAAGAAAAACATTTTTTTTTTTAAGATTGCAGCTGCCTTTTTCATTGTGTGGGTGAGATCAGAGAAAAGTTGCTTTCAAGCCATTGAACTGTGTTGCTGAAAATTCAGACAAATCTATGCCTGGATCTGAATGTTTACACCTTTTCATACCATAGGGCATGGTAAAGGTGCTATGTCCACCCACAGTCTGCTATCTTTCTGAAACTGGCTGAAAGGCAGGAAACCTGCAGTCTCAGCATGGAAAGGACTCAAGGCTGGAAGGCAAGTGAGGTATGTGGTGCACATCTGAGAACTGGCTCACCTGCTGCACTGTACCCCACCTCCATCCCACCCTGGCCTCTCCATTAGAGAAACATGGTGTTAGCTTAGCTGGTCATTAAAAAGTAATGCATCTGAGACCCATTAAAGGAGGGATGTCACTACTACTTATATTAGTAAATGAGTAAAATGAACAATAAGAAACCTAGCCTTTCTTAGCCAGCATAGCCTTTCTAAGATTCCGCAATTATTTATTAGAAAACATTAAAAAGAAAGTATTTAAAAGACTTCACTTTGTAAAAAATTCACTGTTTTAGTAATGTCATGACCACTAACTGATTTACATATATGTCAATTTAGCCAAGAACATTTTAGCTCCACCCATCCATTGTTGAAGTTATAAGGAGTGTTTCAGCACACATGGCTTCTTGAAGAAAGTGCAATACAGGGCAGCTAATCAGAATACAGGTCATTTGCATACAGTTGTTGACCGCCTGCGATCAAATTATGTTTAGTTGATTTTCTAAGAGGGAAAAAAACACATCCCTTATACAAAACTTACCTCTGCAGAATTGAGTAATTGAGTTCTTTTAGAATTGAGTAATCGACACAGCCCTAATTAAAAGCAGTGGCCTCATAATGGCCAAGGACATTTATCATTGGCATTAACTACACGTTGATTGAGCACACTTGTCCTTCCTAAAGCAAAGTCAGCTGTGCAGGCTGGCCACTGCAGGGGCGGGTCGAGATTGGGCCTGGTGTGAATGCGTACCTGAAATGCCAGGAGATACACTTTCCCAATAAAACGTTACATTTGTTGAGCAAACACTAGATTCCACCTATCCTGAGAGCTACAGTATTCAAAAACAGACACACTGAGGCCAAGCCCTAAAGATGTGTGCACTTGAACTCATGGTCAACGTTTCCCATAGTTCTGTTTTTCTTGTGTGACCCAAGTGGTTTAACTTCACACTGATCTGAGACCAAACAACAGCCATAAGATTTTTTTTTAATTATTCACCTGAGCAGATACAGCATTGATGTATTGTTCACAGGCACAAAAGTAGTGTTAAATGGAAGGGCAAGATTGCCAGTATCTTGTTTAAATCTATCAGTGCCTTGACAGAGATTTAAGCTATCAACACCATACTTATTAGTGAGCAGCCAATAATCTCTAATCAAGTAAAGAACAACTTTAAAAAATGGGATAACGCCCAGTCCTGTGCATTTCTTCTTAAGTCTATGAAATACTGTACATATTTGAAATAGGAGACTTTTGTGCAGAGGAATGCACTGCTGATTTTTCTCTTTTTTTTTTCTCATTTCCATTGTTGTGACTTGATTCAAGCCAAACATCTGGCAATGATTACGTGTTATAAAACAGCCAGCCACATAGTATGGGCTCCCTTTTCTCTTACCACTAACTGAAAAACAATGGAAGGTCTGGCACGACAACCACTGTAGTCCTATTTTAACCTCTTAGAAGCTGGCAAAGCATATATATGAGTCCACATTTGAAGAGCCCTCAAAGTAGTTTTGAAACGCTAATTTTTGAAACAGAAAGCAGCTTTTATATATATTCCACAAGCCAAATGCTCTCAGATCAAACAGATAACACCAGAACCAAAAGGAAATTATTTTGTTTTAAAGGGTTCATTTCATGGAAATCAAAATTTTCCTCTTTTTTTTTTGACGTAAGAGCCCACCATGAATTCACTGTTTTTGTGATGTCATGAAAACCAAGTAATTTACATATTCTCCTGTTCAGCCTATAGCAGTTTAGGCCCGTCATTCACACTGAAGTTATAAGGGGCATTTCAGCCCGAACTGCTTTTTGAATGAGGCACAACACAGGCCAACCAAGTCACAGAGGTTATTTACATATATAATTCTTAAAGGCACCGCTACAAAAACACTCTTTCTATTTGTAATGGATAAATAGAGGTTGGCAAAAGGTTATGGAAAAACATAAATCCATGCAAATATCATATGTGAATCTCAGGAAAAAAATAAAACACAAGACAAAAATTAATTATAGGAACTAACAGTACTAATAGTGATATAATAGTGATAAATCTTAATGATGAGGTTGGAAGACTTCAGTAAAACTCTCATACCTGTAGAGAGTTAAATTTTCAATGATACCTCACTTCCTCCAGCAGGCTACAGCGCATAAAAAAATCTCTGGTCAGACCTGAGCCCAGGGAAAAACACTTTTTTTCCTAGCATGAGTAAATATTATAAATACTGCTCCACTCAGATGACTGCCATTTCTCTCTACAGGTCTAAAGTGAATCTTTTTGCACTGCCCTCCTTTTCTCAGTCACACACCCTCTCTTTTTCGTCAGTACACCTCTTGCTCTCTCTTTCAGCACTCTGACATTCTCTCTCTCTCTCTCTCTCTCTGTCTACTCTTTGAGCTTTGAGTGGATCCCTGCTGCTGTCTGACTGAAAGTTTCTGCTGCAAGACGCTCCAAGAAGACAAGAGAAGAAGACACAGAAAAGTACCAGACTGTCAGAGACAGAGCCATCATGAAGACTGTAAGGTTCCAGCTAGTGTTCTGTATACAGGTTTTTGCCTCATTTGTAGTAGGTATACAAAGCCAGTGCCCCAGCCTGTGTCACTGTCACGGTGACCTTCAGCATGTTATTTGTGACAATGTTGGCTTAAAGAAGATTCCTCGCACCTCTGAGGCAACTCGTCTCCTCAACCTTCAGCGCAACAACCTGGGCATGCTACCCACCGGGGGCTTCAGTGACATGAAGGAGCTCATCTCCCTGCATCTGCAACACTGCCAAATCCGGGAGGTCGCCAGTCAGGCCTTCAAAGGCCTCAAGAAGCTCATTTATCTGTACCTGTCTGACAATGAGATCAGCACCATCAAATCTGGAGCTTTTGAGGACTTATCCGAGCTCACCTATCTTTACCTGGATGGTAATCGCATCTCAGGTCTTTCCAAGGGCATCTTTTCCCCCATGATCAACCTATTTATTCTGCAGCTCGATAACAACAAAATCCGTGACCTGCAACCGGGCACTTTCACAGGTGCAAAGGACCTCCGCTGGCTGCACATGAGCCGAAATGAGCTAAGCAGCATGCAGCCTGGCTCTCTTGATGAAGTGGAGAACCTGGCCATTCTTACCTTGGACCAAAACAAGCTCTCTACCTATCCCATCCTGGCCATGAGCAAGCTACGTGTTGTTGAGGAACTTAATTTATCAAAGAACTCACTCAGCTTCATCCCTGATCATGCGTTCCGGAGCTTTGGTCGCTATATGGAGAAACTGCATCTCAATGACATGGGCCTGGAGAAGGTGAGTTTCTCTAGCATCATCACAGGCTAGCTGTACTGGAAGTAATGACAGTAATGGGAGCACAAAACCATTGGCTATGCATGGCATCCAAAAATCACATGAATTTTGTGCGCTGGAACATTTGCGGAGAAATAAATTATGTAGGGTTTTTCATTCCATCACTGAGGAGCCTCTATAAAATTCTGGCTGTATGATGGTTTGTTTATGTTTGGTTTCCTTGTGGTCTGGCATTTGGAAACACAAAGTGTACATACCATATTTCTCAGTTAATAAGGTTATTAGTATGAAGCTGAATCAATATGTAAACTGCTAAAATCCTTCTCAAAACAAGAGAAAAACATATTTAAAACATAATAATAATATTAATAGTAATAGTAATTAATAATAATATTACTGACCAAATATTCTTGCGCACAAGGTGGCAGGTCTGCTAGGTTCACTGCTGTGCATTCTAGACATCATTGGACAGTTTGTTTACATTAAATCTGGATTTTAATTTTTAATTTTAATTTAGTATTTTAGATTCTGAAGCACATGTCCAGTAACTGCATAGTTGAAACAGATAGACCTGTTTCTGGGAGGTAGTACAATTTGTTCTCCTCCTATCTTCCTCACATAATAAAATCCTCCTGGTCTTGCCCAGAGGACTTTAAAGAGGTCACATGTGCTTTGTGTGAAGATGCACATGTGCTGACACCAGCAGGATTCTCTATTCCTGCCTCAGTAAAGGACCTTTGGAAGTACATGGAACATGAACTCTTTGATCCTGACCTCCATGCTTGCACCAGACTTTGCCTCTGCAAAAGTACCAGGCAGAGACCTTATTTTAGCTCTGAATTAAACCTCAGACAATACTCTGGTGGCACTACCAATGAACCATTATATGGTCATTAAATGGTTGTCATCAGAATTACATATCTGGTAGCCAAAACTTAATTACCAGACTCTAACTAGTGCCAGTGAAGTTATGATGAAAATGTGGTCGTCAGAAAGGCAAAAATACTTAAATTATTCAAACTCTGACGTGTGGCATTCCACTAGGCCTGGGATCTACCATACTCTGGGACAAAGTGCATGAAGCTGCAATAGAGGTCTTCTTCTCAGAGGTGTTCTTTATTTAAGTTCCATACGTGCATCAGTGTCATGGCATGAGGAGTTAATGAAAGAAAGTAACAGGGCTCACAAGGGTATTTTTAGCATGTTTGTTTGCTGGCCCCCATCCAAATCTGTCTCAGTCTAATAATTACAGAAGTGTTATTTTGAGAGCTGTGTTTTTTTCCCCCTCACACGAGGCACCCTGTAAACAGGTCAGTAAGGGTTAGGAGACAGGTAAATAGTGACAGGGTGTTCCAAAGCCCATGAAGAGAGGTATTTTTAGGCTGTAGTTGCCCTAACTGAATGCACAATTGGCCTCTTTGCAGGCATTTTTGGCAAAAGAGTCGGCTGATGCAGGAGAGAAAGAGGATGCAAAAACAGCCCGTCTATGCTGGAAGTCATCCATCTTCCATAGCCTCAACTTACCAACCTCTCACTGTCCACTCTCTTCCATCCTGAGTGGAAATTTCCAAAGCGTACCCTCAATAAGCGCATCTCTTTTGGACTTATATAACACACCCAAACACACTCCCACTCACACGCCCTGTCTGCAATGTCTCAGGCCAAGAACCACCCTCTTCCTTTAAGGAGAACCACCTTCACACCATGCAGGCAGAACGGTTCACCTAGCACCTCAGTGAAGTTTTTAACAGGCTAGCAGTTGCTTATGAAGTAAAGGTTGCAGAAAGGTTTACATAAGCCCTGGCACAGGTGAAGGCATGTGAGGGCTCTTTCATGTGAAAGAACCTTTCCATCCGAAAAACAAAGTGAAGGCTTACTGCAAGTAGTAGAGACATTTCAATAAAAAAGGCACTAGAGATTGAAACCAGAGTTCAACACTATTTACAGCAATGAACACTGCCAAAGCCACATTATGTTTTTAGTGTCATCAGACTAACATGTTTCATTCAAGAGAAATAAAGTATGTTCCATTGTTTTTATCCATCTAGTTCTCCACTGCTGCTTTTGAAGGGGTGACTGCTCTGAAATCTCTGCATCTTGAGAACAACAAGCTGAAGACCCTACCAAGTAGTTTGGTTTTCACCACCATCCAGAATGTCACTCTGTTCAACAACCCATGGAGCTGCACCTGCCAGTTAGCAAACCTTAGAAAGTAAGGTCCAACAACAAAAACACAATAGCAACAATACCACCTGCAGCTATTCTACCAGGGAATGGCTGTTTGTCACACTACACCTATTCCCTTGTTTCTGATTTAACCTTGTTTGATGTTCGTGTGATCAGCTGATGATCAAGTTTAAATGTAACAGGGTGCTAGCTGTGCATAACGCACACCGTGGTTGGTATAATGTAGTGGATAACACCTCTGCCTTCTGTGCTGGAGACTGTTGTTCAATCCCCCACCTGGGCAAGCACCCTACACTACACCAATAACTCGTAACACTACTTTCACCTACCTCTGTTAAAAAAAAAAACAAAAAAAGATCAAATTGTAAGTCGCTCTGGATAAGAGTGTCTGCCAAATGCCATAAATACAACTCAAATCTCATATTTAAACTAAAAATTCCATATTTTTGCATCTCTAGGTGGATGGACTCCAGTCGTCATCAACCTGATGCAGTTTGTGCATCTCCTCCAAATCAGAAGGGCAAACAGATAAGAGACAGTACTGCTTTTAGTCGATGCAAAGTGAAGCAAAAGAGAGCCAAGAAGGGAGCACGCCTTTGAAAAGGTAACCAAGTACCTTAAAACCATCTGGAGTTAGACATGATTGGTTACATCTTAAATAGATGATATTATTCAAAACAAACATCTGAATCTGGGGCTTCAAAAAGTCAGTTATGAGGGCGTGCCTCTCTCCACGTGCATTCTGAATGTAAACAAATCATGATAAAAAATGAAGTGGTGATTCATAATGTCCAGTCTCAGGGGTTCCCTGTCAGGAGGGCAGTTGTGGTTTCTAGCAAAAGACCACTGCTCTCCCAAAGGCTACACAAGAGACTCTTTCATAGGATGCATTTATGAGGGACATACTCATAAATACATTCTAAAGTGCTACTTGCTGTTCCACAACAATATTTTGAAGACACTTTGTAAATACTTAAAAATGAAATCACATTATATATCGGTTTCCACATTTCATTGCAATCATTCAAGTTACATATGAAAAAATCCATAACTGTAAAAATTAAGTTTTAAAGTTTAAGTTTCAGAGATAAAGATACATTCAGTCAAAGTTTTGGACTATGTTCAGTATTAGTTCAGTCAAAGTCTTGGGCTTTTATTTTAATAATGTTTAATCACAGTGCAGTGAAGCATTAGGAATGTATACAATATTTAATCGTGTGAAGAAGCAGTCTTTTCCGAGAACTAAACAACAGCAATGTGCCATCACCACTATCAGTAGACTATAGCTGCCAACAGGTTGCGGCCAACAAGTGTTGTAATCCCCATTATTTGTGAATGAAAGATTGTTTTTAGCTGACCTATTATAGCGTTCAGCTGCATTAAAACTTCAGCTGACCTACTACAGCGTTAGTTTCACATCACCGTTCTGTGCTGAAGGAATCTGCAGAATTATAAGCTTTCAGCATGAGATCTCATAAATAGTCAAGGAAACAAAGGTCAGAATATTTGTATGCCTGCCACATGTCTTCTCCAATCATTCTGAAAAGATGAATACTGCTGCTATAATTGTGGTCAGGATATGGTTTTGGGCTACTGTCTTGTTTTGCAGTAAACTATTGTCCTCTACTCCTTGTCTGACCTCTGTCTTCTTACTTATCTCTGCATTACACTTTGTGTTCTGGGCCTGTCTGTGCTTTCCCACTTTGGCCAGCACAGTGTAGCACAGTTACGGATGTCCAGTACAGGGCCTAGCGGTTTGACTTGGCTCTGTCCTTTGTGTTTTTCCACAGGAGACTCACACAGACGCTTGTCCAGGTGACGGCTACGTGTGCAGAGAAGCAATGGGAAGCAACGCTACTTCAGGAATGTCCATATTTTTTATTTCTTCTAAATTCTTTGAAGTGTCACACATTAAATGTATGCTCAATAAAATAAAAAGCAAAGAGATGCATTTGTAGACACCACCACCAGCAAACATCTATGTAATTCACAAATTTAAAGCTTACAATATAAAGATCACTCACAAAGAGCCTGATGCTCTCTCTGTGCCACATCTTGTGGATTTTGTTAAGCTTCCTGTAGCTTCCAGATAAGCAGATAGCCTGCTATATTCCCTCTCCTGCTCAGTTCAAAGTCAGCATTACCATTCCAGGTCTAGAATCTCTTGTCATATTAACAAACATAATCATTCCTAACTTTGACTACAGTTCAAGGTAAGAGACTTTATCCAAGGTGGTAAAATGTATAGTAACACAAAGTTCTCCTCCATGTCATGTGAAACAGATACCAACACACCTTAACCATGGTAACAAAAACATCAGGGCCTTCTGCTTTGGTTACCATCAACATCTAACTACCGTGTCAATAGAATACTGCATGAGGCATTTCAGGCCCTTTCTCAATATGCAATTCTCACAGAAACTTTCAACTTCAAGTTTAAATGTAGTTTGGAAGTCTGAAATATTGGAGAAACATAAAAGAGCAGGACTGTGTGAACGCCTTTAAACACTGTGGCAAGCTGTGCAGTACAAAAAGAAATCACAAGCAAAGAAATATGCAGCTCCAGTAGTTTCAAAGCAGGTTATTTGCCTACTGTTTCTTCAGTTTTTTTTTTGCTTTTAGCTGCCCAACAACTTATGAAACAAAGATATGAATGACACACGTCTTTCCATCTTGGACACAAGAACCAAGGACCAGGACCATCGAAGCAGCTGCAAATCAAAATGGAACACCAACACTTTTCCAAAAAATGGAAAAAACAGAAATGGGTATTGGTTTGTAATCAGTAAAAACGGTGAAGAAGCATACCTAAATGACAGTTAAAGCACAGACAAATGAGGCTATCAATAATGCAGTCTCATGATGTATACATGTTAAATAAAATATCCATTAAAGCAAACTAACAATATGCTTTATTATGGTGCATGCACAAAATTAAAGCATTCTCGACAAGAAAAGGGAAAGGAACATGTACACTGAGCATGCTGTATGGGTAAGAGTGTAAATAAAACTGGAATCATCATTTTCACTCAAAAAAAGACATGCTTTAACATTAACTTTTCCACATTGTCTTGCTTCGCAGCGCTTTTCAAATCAAGTAAACAAAGACAATATCTTAATCTATCAATAAGCAGTTGAAATAGTTTCTGTAGAATGAATATCAGGGAGATTTTTGATATGGGTTTTGCCAAACAACTGCATGGCACACTGTTTTTGTAATACTTTTAAACTTTGTGTAATAGGTGGTCTGTATCACCTTTCCAATAAACATCCAGTACCTAAAGAAAACGTATTCTTGTCTGTGTTCAATTTTTTTTTTTTTTTGTAGAAATAGCCATTATGTATTTAGATCATCACTGCACCAGACAAAACCTTGAATCTCCATTTTTATAATTTTTTTTAGAGAATTTGAATGTGCTAGCTGCTGTTTACATTGTGTTAAAATGTCATGATGAATAGAAACGGTCTAAAATTATTTGGTGGAAAAAAGTTTGTTAACTTCCATTTCAGTTAGGAATGATTTTTTTCCTTTTTACCCTAGTAAGTAATCTTGGATACAAGGTTTAGTCCCAACAGCAACAATATACAGTTCTATACATGCGTGAATGATGTGATGTGCATCATACCTGACCTGCATGCCACTGTGTTTATTTACATTTGATCCTGTTTTTGCAGAAATGCTTTTACATAATACAAGTTCTTAGTGAAGGTTCTGGGTGAAGAGGAACAGTAACAGTTTGAGAAAGAATAACAGGGTATGTCCAGTATACAAGTATTAAACAATAAATCAGTATTAGACAATTTATTAATTTGGAGCAAAGGGTACGGTCAAACAGTGTGTTCTGTCATCGCAAAAATAAGGGGAAAAATAGCTCTGATTTTTATTTAATTATCAACTCATTTCGATCTAATAACTAGGTGATTATTTTCTTGTTATTGAGTGCTTTGTTATATAGGGCACTATCATGCTATGATTATATATCATCTCAAAACTAGTGTGCTAAAGTAAACAAGAGTAAATTCCTATTTCACATTTTTACATTGTAAAATAGGACCATCAGAGCAGCTCCAAACCAAAATGGAACACCATCACTTTTCCAAAAATCAAAAAAAATAGAAATGTGTATTGGCTGGTAACCAGTAAAAAGTTAAAAAGTAAAAAATGCCCTGTTTTCACATTCAGTTGCTGAATCTCAGCTTAAAATGCACTTACAGCAAAAAAATAGTTCTCTAATGAAATAATCAAAGGTCACTTTTATTCCCTTTTTTTACCATCTATACACACCTATTTGTCTCCCTCTAGTGATCTGCTGTAGAGTGCAACTTCTCTCTCATAAAATTTTAACTTAGATTAGCCTATGCAAAAATTCTCAAATTCAAATGGTAAAAATCAATAAAGAAATGCAGTACAATAACAAGTTATTTAGAACACTTTCGATACATAGCAAATATACAGATGATATTCATCTATTTCTAGAGCTGGAATCTGTACTCACCGTCATTTCCTTTATGCCCATGACTTTGACAGCTTTTTTTACTACTTCAGGAGGGCAGGGGGAGCCAGCCACAATTCCTGTCATACAAAAAGTACAGTTAAGAACTGATATGGAGCCTGCTGCAACACGCAGCACGATATCCTATGTCCCATTATACTACAGACATGCATGCACACTTGCTGTAAATATAACGGTCAGTCAAAAAACTACAATGATACAGATATAGCAACTAAGCCTTACTGCATGAAAACTGATCAACTGGTCAATGCCCGATCCTTGGCATTTAACTCACCAGTTTGAACAGATGACAGGTCAAACTTGGGCAAGTCAGGCTGACCTAGCATATCTATGTACATAGTAGGAGTACCATAGATAAATGTGCACCTGCACAGGTAGAAGCAATATGATAAGCAAAACAATAACAACTATCAGTACAATAACGGAAGGCATTACAGTTTAAGCAAGTACACAAAATAGCCGCAATTGTCATGGGAAACATTTCATCATTTACAGAGCAAGAGAATTTTTCCCTGCCAAATCATTTTAATGCCTCTTTTTGAAGAACATTAGAACTAGATATTACATTCTCAAAATGTAATAAAAGTTTAAATGCAAATACAACACTATACAATACTAGTCATGCTCATATCTGAAAGGATTAGTTCTAAGAAAACTGGCTGGCATACATACAAGTAGTTCACATGCTGTAAATAAAAACACTAAGAAAGACAAGCATGTATTCATACTTCTCTTTCTCTATGGCTGCCAGGTTAGCACGTCCATCATATCCAGTGGAGGGAAAGACCAGCGTGATTCCATGCACTGCCATCACCATCCCCCCACCCACTGAGCCAAAACAGTGATACAGTGGCACTGGCAAACACACCCGAACATTTTTCTGAGGGGAACAGGGTCAAATAATAAAGCTAAATAAATTATGCAAATACAGTAGAACTGCCTTCTGTGTTAAAAAACAGTAATGGTTGCACTTTTACAGACCTAATAAGAGAACTTGAGGACTTAAAATGTAGTTTCAATGGTTTTTAAGGTATAAATAAGAGATCATTCTACATACGATACAATGTACATACCAATTAATTGTGTACCTCCTGTTTAATGCATTCATGTTCTATGATTGTAAAGCATACTTGAGCATGGGAAAGGAGCTATATAGATAAAGTGATGATGATGGTAATTTGTTAAACTATAACGTATCTACAGTTTACTTATCTAGAGTCCAACACAGGCCAAAAGCACCTACTCACCCTCCACTCATATCCCACACGCAGGCCAATGAAGTAGGCATTGTTGACGATATTGTGATGAGACAGGGCAGCTCCTTTTGGACTTCCAGTAGTTCCCTGGAATCAGACAAGGTCAACACTTTTGATATTGCATTTTACTTTCAAGTTATATATAATGGTTAGCCTGTACTTCTCAGTACCAATGTGAACTGGATGTTAATAGGATCGTCAAAGGACAGCTTCTTCTGGATGTCCTGCAGCTGCTGGTAGTGTTCGCTATTCCCAGCCTGCATTAGATCATTCCAGTGAAATGTCCCAGGCTGCTGACTGTCCAGCACAATAACCGTACTCAGGTCTGACAATCTAAACACATCAAAGGTGATAGAAAAGTATGACCCATAAATCACACTTATGTGCCTCAAACATGCACCACAAATACACAGCAAAAAGAGAGTTTGACGTATCTTCTTGGTCAAAAGAAAGTTTAATGTTTCTGAAACCCTAAATCTAATCCTAAAATTACATATATATCTAACCCTGAACTTAACTCTAACCCTGAGGTTATAGAAAAGAGTTTCAACAGATAGTCTGTTAACAATTTAAGCATCTGTAGATAATCAAAACAGGACTTTTCAGATTTGTGCTCAGGTAAGCTCAGAGAACACTGACAGAAAATAAAGTAAATGTAACATTGCAAATATCAATGTTAATGTACTAATGTAACATTTTTATTGGTCCATTCCTCATGAAATGTAAAGGACAGAGAAAAAAAGTTGGGGTTTTTATGACAATAACAATATGTTAATGGCCCAGTGAACTTTAATATGTCTCAGTTCAAAGCTGTTTTTGTCTCCATCTTGATGCAACAATGCAATCTTGCTGGGCTTTAAAACTAAACTAAACTAAAAACTAATGAAACTAAAAGTAAACTATACAGTTATTGTCTACATGTTTATCTTGCACTGAGGCCCAAATATGTTGTGTACTGTGAATGCGTCATGAGTGAACAGTCTACTGTTATGTTGGTGGTTTTTGCACCTGGAACTCTTTATCCCTCCGGGAGGGGAAGTATCCATCTCAGGGCAGAGCTGCCTCAACATGTCACAGTATCTCTGTGTCTTAAACTGTGTGGGACATACAATTGCTTTGCACTGGACCTAACCAAAGGGAGAAGATATGTGTCTTAGAGTAGGCTGATCACAAAAAC